GTAATTAATAGATAGCATATGATAAAGAAAAATTTTATTTGTACCGTTAACAAATTTATCAATCTTATTCGTTACTTCAGGCTACAGAAATACGTGATCAAAATGTAAAATTACGTTGAATATATCAAAGAGAGAGAAAGAGATAGAGAGAGAGAGCGAGAGAAGGAGAGGGAGAGAGGGGGAGAGAGAGAGAGAGAGAGAGAGGGAGGGAGAGAGAGGGAGGGAGAAAGGGAGAGAGAGAATGAATGAATGCATTCTGATGTTAAATTAAGAAATGTAAAATCTTTATCGATCAAAGTATATGCTGTAGGATGCTTTAAAACTGGCCACTGAGAGAAAATTTTAGCTATGTTTTTATTTTGAGACGTTTGAATTTGATTCCCTCCTTATGCTAAAGTTGCTTTCCAATGATTTTCAACTAATTGCCCTGGTGACAAATTATTCATACCTACATTTGTTACATCTTCAACTTTATTAAAATGTTCTTGCCATTTTTTACTAAATTTAATTCTAAGGCTAATTTGCGGAATTAATTCTTTAATTAAATCTGATGTCAAATTTGCTATGGAATCTTTATCAATGCAATTTTCTGTAAGTAAATGCATGTACATATTCAACTTCTATAAGAGTGAATCTGTAAAAGTTGCTTATAAAAGTAACAACTTTGAATTTATTTTAATACGGATTATACATTTCTAAATTGTAATTATTAAACAAGATATTACTTACCTTCGAAATGTTTGATGAGAATGTCTAAATCCCAAGATTTTAACAATTCCTTCGAATAATTATCCATCACAACACAATATTTAATATGCAGAATGACGAAACGTTCAGAAATGTGAACATACGTTAATTTTTTTTTGTTTGTATTAATTTTTAATTTTTGTATAAATTTTTAATTTGTTATATTAATTTCTCTAAGTTTTAATTTTTCTATTAATTTTTTATTTTATGTTTTTTCTGTGTTTTGTATTATGGGATATATTTTTTCTTTCAATATTGCAATAAATAAATTTTATATATAGGGGAAAGTAGGGTAAAACCGGGTATCTCTGCTTCTTCATGATAAGTGCTACTATCTTTAACTAACTCGTGTTATTTGTTGTAGATTGATGCCATCATTATTTTGAGATAAACCGTGCCCACGTACATACGACAATTCCTTTTTAAGAGAAATTTAAAATTTTCGAGCCAAAAAAGATCGATATCGGGGCAACAATCGAGTCGTTATAGATTTTTCTTACACGGAGCATCTGCTTCTGTAAATACAGCCTTGTATTCTGTATATATTAGAGAGTATATCGCATAAGTTTTGATCGTCACTTTGTACATCAAAATATATAGCCGCCGTGTTTGTTATTTTCTTCGTGTTGGGGCAAAACCGGGTACCTACACACTTCATGTAATGAAAAGAAAAAAAACTGTTATCCTGACTTTGTCTCCTTACAAAAAGCATTTGGAAACAAAAACTATCACTCAGAAAAAGAAACCACCAGAAAAAAGCTTTTTGAAACCCCTGAAGTTAAAAAATTAAATAAGAAAGTCCTGCAGCAATGTAGAACAAAAGGATATCTTTATTTGTAATTTCTTATATATATATGTCTTATAATAAATCATATATAATTTTAGCATTAATTGATTTTGTCTTTACAGATAAAAAAAGTCAGTCCGAAAAATAAAAATAAAAGCCAATTATTTAAAAATCAAAATGCCTGCTCATTTTGAAGATGACATTGTTATTACGGGTATTTCAGGTAATTATGCTGGTCTTCAGCAGCCACGGTCAATTCGTTACAGGAATATAATGCATTGATATTTTTCTAGGTCGTCTGCCTGAATCCTCAAACATTGAGGAGTTTAAAGAGAATTTAATGAAAGGAACAGATATGGTAACCGAGAATGATCGCCGTTGGTCAGCGGGCATCTACGGGGAGCCGCCTAGATTCGGCAAAATAAAAAATCTTAGTAGTTTTGATGCCTCTTTCTTCAGAGTGTATCCTAAGCAGACACGCGTCATGGATCCGCAGCTTCGTCTTATGCTAGAAGTGACATACGAGGCAATAATTGACGCTGGCATCAATCCATCAAACTTAAGAAAATCACGTACTGGCGTGTTTGTCGGTGTATCTTTTTCGGATGCAAATCATATATGGAAAACAGAATCAAACGGTTTCTACATTTCATAATCTTATCATGAAAATTTCCGCCTAATAAAGTAATATTACAAAGTCAAAAAAAAATGGTTAGAAATAGTCAAATTACTTTTTAAATATAAATGTATTCAATATTTTACAAATATAAGAGATATTTGATACGTTAGAATTATGATTTCTTTATGAAACAAGACATAAAAATATAAAGAAATTTAGATAAAGATATAAGATTTTAGCGAAAAAGAGATATAATTGATTAAAATATTATTTTTTCACAAATATACACAGTTTAAAAGTTAGATTTACAATATATATATCTGCAAATCTACTTATTATTAACGAATTATAAATTTTTACTCCAAAAACGCTTTAAACCTTAGCTACATATAACCTTAGCTATTATATCTTTTGAGATTGAGTAAATTATATAGGATACTTATTGTCTGTTTGCAGAATACAGAGTGCTCGGATGTTTCAAATCAATGTTCGCCAACAGAATCTCTTATTCATTTGATTTTATTGGACCCAGTTACACAGTGGATACGGCCTGCTCCTCGTCCTTGACTGCTATGCATCAAGCAGTCGTCGCGATACGCACCGGTGAATGCGACTCTGCTATCGTCGGCGGATTAAATATAATACTCGATCCAGCGAATACCATTCATTTTCATCAATTAAATATGCTGTCCAAGGATGGCAAGTGTAAGACATTTGACACCACGGCTAACGGTTATGTGAGATCTGAAGCAGTGATCGCGATATATCTGCAGAAAACGATGGATGCACGCAGAATATACGCCAAGGTGATAAACACGGCAACAAATACGGATGGCTACAAACCAGAAGGTATTACCTATCCGAACAATGACATTCAGTACTTGATGTTGCGCGAGTTATATAACAAAGCGGGAATCGATCCAAGAAATGTGGTTTATGTAGAGGCGCATGGTACCGGTACCCAAGTTGGTGATTCTCAAGAAGTAGATGCCATCGATAGACTATTCTGCAAAGACAGAAAGACACCGCTGTTGATTGGCTCCGTCAAGTCAAATATGGGACATGCGGAACCCGCTAGCGGACTGTGCTCGATCGCTAAGGTGTTGATCGCGATGGAAACCGGTGTAATCCCCGCAAATTTGCACTTTGCTGTTCCAAATCCAAGCATCCCAGCACTAACCGAGGGACGTATTCGTGTCATCGACAAAGCTACGCCATGGAACGGCGGTCTCGTTGGCATCAATTCGTTCGGTTTCGGCGGTACAAATTCGCACGTCATTTTAGATAGCAATCCGAAAGCAAACATATCATCCATGACAAGTACTATCGAACCACTGCCGAAACTAGTCGTCGTATCGGGCCGCACAAAAGAAGCTGTGCATGTGTTACTAGACAAGGCAAATGAGCATCGACAAGATAATGAGTTCTTGTCTCTATTACGCGCCGTACACAGTGATAACATATCGGGACACAACACTCGCGGCTACGAGATACTTGCTCACGATGGTATGCGCGAAATAGCCCAGGAAAATTATGATGAGAAACGCCCCATTTGGTTTGTATTTTCCGGCATGGGCACTCAATGGCCGGGCATGGGCCGTGAACTGCTTGGTATTGAAACATGCCATCGAAGTCTGCGTCGATGCGCGGACGTATTGAAAAATCACGACATCGATCTAATGAATATTATAATGAATGGCACCAACGAGACATACGAGATCGTAACAGATGCTTTCGTATCGATTGTGGCAATCCAGATCGCTCTCATCGATATGCTGACATCCATAGGTATAAAACCGGATGGTATAGTTGGACATTCCATCGGCGAACTGAGTTGTTCCTATGCTGACGGTGCGTTTACGCTAGAACAAACTATTTTGGCAGCCTATTACAGAGGCAAATCGATCGTAGATTCTGACTTGGAACCAGGCGATATGGCAGCAGTCGGTTTGAATTGGGAAGAAGCCAAAAAAATATGTCCGTCCGATATTAGTTTAGCTTGTCACAATTCCGCGGATTTGGTCACCATTTCCGGCCCGTCCGAATCTGTACAGAAATTTGTAGAAGTGCTGAAGAGTAAAAATATCTTTGCCAAAACGGTCAAATGTTCCGGCATCGCCTTTCATAGCAAATACCTTGCCCCGGCTGAGTCCAAGCTGCGCGCCTTGCTCGACATAATTATACCAAAATCAAAACAAAGATCTGGCAAATGGATCTCCAGTTCAATACCTAAAACCGCATGGGATAGCTCACTTGCACAATTCAGCTCATCAGAGTATTTTGTGAACAATATGTTGTCACCCGTGCTCTTCAAAGAAGCAATCGCGCACATTCCGGATAATGCGATAACTATCGAGATCGCGCCGCATTGTCTGTTGCAGGCGATTTTACGCAGATCGCTACCATCGACGGTGATCAATATCAGCCTTCAAAAGCAGAATCATTCAAACAATCTGATCTTTCTATTGTCTAATGTGGGAAAGATGTACATGGCCGGCGCGCAACCCGATATCCTGAAATTGTATCTGTCGGATACAGTTAGTTTTCCCGTTGGTCGCGGAACACCAATGATCGGACCTCTAATCAAGTGGGATCACTCTAGTACATGGGAAATACCGGTTTACAAGCACGAGTCAGAGGGATCGTCGGGAGAGCATATTGTGGAAATAAATCTATCGAGAGAAACGGATGCATATTTAGCGGGACACAAAATCGACGGTCGAGTTGTTCTTCCAGGCCCCCATCTCGCGCTCATGGTTTGGAAAACCTTCGCGAAATTACGCAACATTTATTTCGAGAGACTTCCGGTAATCTTTGAAGACATGTGGTTCCAGCGAATCACCTTCTTGCCGGAAAAGAAAACCGTCAAATTATCGATAAAAATCATCGAAGAAACAGGATATTTTGTGGTCCGTGAACTCAATACAGTAATTTTTAGCGGTAACATACGCACTGTAGAGCCCAGTGAAAAAGATGAGCTGAACTTGCCTTTGCTACCGATACCGCCTACCGACAAAGAGTTTTTATTACCGTTGAGCACCGAGGACGTTTATAAAGAACTGAAGCTGCGCGGATACGAATTCAGCGGTTTTTTTAAAGGGATAAAATCCATCGACAGTTATTGCACTGTAGGCGAGTTATTTTGGTTCAACGAATGGAGCTCATATATAGATAATATGTTTCTGCTTAATCTTATAGCCAACGACCGGAAATTAGTGTATGGATCAAAGATTCGATATGTCGCGATTGACCCCGTTCTTCACAAACAATTGGTCGACAAGTTACCAAAAGATGGCGGATTGCCAGTATATCATAACAAGAACGCTGATATTATTAAATCCGGCGGTATTCTAATCAAAGATATAAAGACTACCGCATCTCAACGACAGCAGATTCAAACTAAACCCAAGTACGAACGTTACGCGTTCGTGCCTTACGAAAATTCGTACAGCCTAGATCTGGAAAATCATACGAGAGGGAAAGTTCACGCACTCACTGTACTCTTAGAAGTTATGTGCGAGAACTTAACGACGTTTAAAATTAATGCCGTTGAAATTGCGAACAATCAAGCCCCGAATAGCCGTTTGAGACCATTTATATTAGATATTATGCATGAAAAGCCTTTATTTACCGTAAGTACTTATCACAGATTTTTAATGCACATTGTGTCACTTCAGAAAGTAAATAAATATAATTTCGATTGAAGATTCCGTAATTTACAGATGAAAATCCCTTAATACAAAATTATTTGAGCAAATTCTATTTGATTGTAAGCTTTTTTGCGTGAACAATTCTAAGTGCATATGAACTTTCTGCTTCTATTGTTTTAGATTAATCTACAGGAAGACGTCAGTTCCATCAATGATTACACGACTCGTTTTAATCAAATGAACGTGAAGGTTAAAGTTACGATGCCGGAAGCGAACGATGCAATCCCTGCTCATAATATGCATCTTTTCATAGCGGCGAATGTACTGTCTGGACGATCTTGCACTATTCTAAGAAATCTGGCTGCTAACTTAAGATCCAATTGCTTTATTCTTTTGGAAGAAACTACTATACCACTCAATTTAAAGATTATACTGAAGGAAGCGAATCTGACGTTAGCTGGAAAACAAATCGACTCCTCGGGAAAAATTTATCTCTTGTTAAAGAAGCGAAGGAAAGGAAGAGAACTTATCGTTGTATATATCACAGAAAAAAATTTCTCATGGTTGGAGAATGCAAAAACAGCGCTAAGAAACTTAGACAGCAAGAATCAAGAAGTGCTCTTTGTATCTCAAGGCGAAGAGTCACTTGGTACAATTTTAAATAAATAATTACATATATAGATTCGCTTTTATACATATATATATATATATATATATATATATACACCTAAAAAGATGCATTTTAATAATTGTAACGCTGTACTTTATAGGGTGAACCTTTTCAAAAAATGAAGGATAGATTGCTAAAGAAATTAGGAGTACAGGAAAAAGAATTCGAAAAGGTAGGCATCCTTAGCTAATCTTTTTTGATCTCTTATGAGAATTCATAAAAAAACTTTGAAGTTTAAGTTCGCGGTGGTGTCAATGGGCAAGCCACAGTTCATTATCGACTCGCCGGACTGTTGTATCAAAGTCGACGATTTCCTTCCTAGATTTTCCGGTCAGAGTAAGTATAAATTATGTTTCTATTCTCCATTTTCTAACGCATGCGAATAAAGTGAGCGTCGAATAATCGCATAGTCTCACTATATTTAGTACATAGTACATTGTAATATGATGCTGATGAAGAATAAATTTTGTAGTCTATCCACTTTTAAACGCAGGCACATCGCCACACAGGCCTTGGCTTGGCCTGGAACATGTCAACAAAGCGCCAAAGCGCTCTCGTAATATATATATATACACCTAAAAAAAAGGAACACTTTTTATACGTTAAAAATTGGGTTATTTTCAGATCGCTAAGGTCCGTTCTAATAAATCGCCAACCACAGTCGATTATTTCGAGAATATTCTTGGAATAATCAACTGTTATTGATCAATTTGCTTACGACTAACGACTTACGACTTATTGTAGAATGGGCCTAAAACTTGGCGAAAAATCATCGTAGATAAAAAAAGCATTTTGAAGCTTGAAGTTTCTGTACTTTAACTATGCTATCAATAATTTAAACAAAATTTTTTAATTTTCTCATTTCTAAAAAATACAGGTCTAGTTTCAAAATCGTATAGCTCGGCCAAAGAAAAAAATTGTAGAAAAATTAAAAAAGAAAGAATTTTATAGACAAAATGTTGTATTTTATGAAACTTGATTTACATCTTCCAAAAAAAAACTTTTTATTGAGCTGCAGAATATCAAAAATACGTAATTTTGAAGAACAAAACAATGTATTTTTTTAAAGCACAGAACAAAAAAGATCAAAAAAATTTTTTTTCTTTTTTTTTAACAGTATATAATAATTCTTTATATAATATTGTTACGTAAATTGATCTCGAACTATCGAACTCGCGCGACACAACCAGCACTTACGAAGAAATGCTCTTTATAAAATTCCAGAAACTTTAATTATAGAACACACAAGGAATTCATATAATGTAATTAAAAAAAACGGAGCTATCAGTAACATACTCACACTTGATAATTATTCAAAATTTAAAATTTTTGCCGTAGTTGTCAAAAAGACTCGCACGTCGTTTTGGAAATAATCTTTTTTCTACCGCAACGAACGGCATAACTGCGGCACAGGAATATCATAGAGCCGTACACTATAATTAAAAAACTCATTTTTCTCTTTTTCAATTTTTAAAAATATCTGTTTAGAAAATATCAATTTGATCTGTTTATTTTAATTTTGTTGGAATGTTTATCAGCATATTATGTTTTGTCAACTATCCTTACTTTTAATTTGCAGGTCTAATTGGATTTATAAACTCCATCCGGCACGAGACTACAAACGTGCGTTACGTCTTCATTCAAGATAATAACGCTCCCAAATTCGATTTATCCGCAGAGTTTTATGTGGAGCAATTGGATAAAGAACTATCGGCTAATGTGTTAAAAGGGGGTCAATGGGGCAGCTATCGGTATTTGCAATTAGATTGCCACAATGACGTGCAAGTGGAGCACGCTTATGTAAATACACTAAAGACGGGAGATTTAAGTAGCTTGAAGTGGATTCAAAGCCCATTAACATACTGTCAGACAAAATATATAAATACACTCTGCAGTGTGTACTACGCGTCCTTAAATTTCAAGTAAGTTTTGATAAGAGTTATTCGTCTCTCATTCAATTAATAATATGGACATAACATATTGTCATATTGATAAATGCAATTGATAAATAAATTTTGTGTTAACAATAGGGATGTTATGCTAGCGACTGGTAAACTATCAACAAACACCGTCTCATTATCAAGGATGGAGAAGAATTTATTAGGACTTGAATTCTCCGGAAGAGACGCGAACGGTAATAGAGTAATGGGTATAGTTAAGACAATGGGATTGGCGACCACCGTGCTACCGGATACCGATCTTCTCTGGAAAGTACCCGACAAATGGACATTGGAACAGGCGGCAACAATACCGGTCGTTTACGCGACCAGTTACTATGCTTTATTTGTACGAGGTCAATTGAAAGCGGGAGAGAGCGTGTTGATTCACTCCGGTGCGGGCGGTGTCGGTCAAGCGGCAATCGCCATCGCGCTGCATGCCGGCTGCACAGTCTTTACTACTGTTAGCACGCTGGAAAAGCGGCTGTACCTCAAGAAAACATTTCCGCAATTGACCGATAAGCACATCGGTAATTCCCGAGATTCGAGTTTCAAACAATTGATTCTTAACGAGACCCAAGGACGTGGAGTCGATGTGGTGCTAAATTCGCTTGCAGAAGAGAAACTGCATGCCAGCATACAATGCCTCGCGATCAACGGTCGATTCCTCGAGATCGGGAAATATAACATATTAAATGGCAACCGCATAGATATGTCGATATTTTTAAAGAGCATCGCTTTCCACGGTATACAGCTAGAAACGCTGTTTGAGGATTGCGCGGACAAGCGAGAAACGATTAGATTTGTTACGGAAGGAATCGAGAACGGTGTGGTGCGTCCGTTACCGACAAAGGTATTTCGGGAGGAATATCTCGAACAGGGATTCAAATTTATGGCGACGGGAAAGCACATCGGCAAGATATTACTGAAAATTCGGGACGAGGAGCAGCAGAAGAATGTGCTGCCGATACTAAAGACGATGTCGGCCATACCGCGTACCTATATGAATTCGGAGAAATCATACGTGCTGATCGGCGGTCTCGGTGGATTTGGCCTAGAACTGGTTAATTGGATGATCGCCCGCGGCGCAAGATTCATCATTCTCGTGTCCCGTACCGGCATACGCACCGGTTACCAGGCATTCCGCGTGCGACATTGGCGTGAGAGCGGAATCAAAATCATTATCTCTACAGCAGATATCACGACGTTATCAGGTGCCGAACGTTTGATTGACGAGAGCAATCGGCTGGCTCCGGTAGGCGGTATATTTAATTTGGCCGCTGTGTTACGCGACGGTTTCTTTGAGAGCCTGCAAGTAGCCGACTTCGAAATGGTAACCTTGCCAAAAATCAACGGTACAAGAAATCTGGATACGACGTCGAGAAAATCCTGTCCGTCATTGGATCACTTTGTTGTGTTTTCGTCTATATCGTCTGGCATTGGTAATCCGGGTCAATCTAATTACTGTCTTGCGAATTCAGCTATGGAAAGAATGATGGAGCAGAGACGTGCCGCTGGTTTGCCCGGTCTTGCTATTCAATGGGGTCCTATCAAAGATGTCGGCTTATATGAAGGTGAGATTTACGTCTTTACCTTTTTCCATGAAATTCAGTGATTATTATATTATTTTATTATATTATTATTAACAGGAACAGTATCAAAAAATAGTTGCAGATTAATTATAAGTTTAAAATAAATGTTGTTTAAAAAGTTTTGTTTAAAATAATTACAAAATAATAATATTATGTTATCAAAAAAAGAATAACAAATTAGAAAGCGTTTAAATATTGTGTAAAATATCCTCGCAAATCGCCAAAGTCGACAGTAATCGTCGATATTATATAATATATATTATATGATACTATTATTTTTATAGATACAAAGAATAGAAACATCTATACAGGCGCTGTTTTAATGCAACATTTATCCAGCTGTTTTGCAACCATGGACATTTTTCTTCAACAACCGTACGCGGTACTATTATCCACGGTGATAGCCGAGAAATCCGTGAATAACAGCGACAAAGTTGACTTCGACCAAATCATTCGCAATATCCTTGGTATTGAAAATGTCTATTCGATAACTCCCGATGACAACTTCGAAAAGTTAGGTATCGATTCACTGGCTTATATGGAGATAAAACAGATTCTTGAAAGGGACTATAATATTATGTTATCGTTCCGAGAGATGCGTGCCTTGACTGTAAATGAAATGCGAGGTTTATTAGCAAGCGCTGTATCTCGCGATTTCTTAACAAGTTAGAAGAGAATGCAAAGAGGATCGCAAGTCTCTATACATACTTTTTAACTTAAATATTTTTCTTTTAAAACTTTTCTTTCCAATGGCTTTCCAATGTGTGTGTAAATATAATGGTAATTACATGATTTTTAAAAATGATGATAGTATGATAATGATATGGTAATGATATGATTTAAAAAAAACTATTTGATAGTCATATGATTAATCAAATGATGCTAGTTAATAAGCTTCGTGCCCTTGGTATAGGTGGAACTTTCTTGGACTGGCTCTCTCTATCAATCTTTATAACAAATAAAAATTCAAAAATTGTAAAATTGTAAAATTCTTTTTCTAGGAATATCGCGGTTTTTTCGAGGATCCTTCAAGGATCTCATTTGGGTCCTTTATTCTTTAATATATTTATTAACGACTAAAAGCAAGCCGACGACTTAAAGATTTTCCGTCGAGTCACTAATCTATTAATGCCTCTTACCTACAGCTACCTAGATCTTTTCTCTTTCCAGAGAAATATAAATCTTATTATGAATGCTGCATTCAAGAGACTTTTGGTTTTGTAAACCGGTCGTGTCAATTTTTTCAAAAATGTTAATACTTTCAAATTATTAAACTGTGAATAGGCTCTCAAGATCAATACTAATTAACATACAAATAGCAATTTAGAGCCAACGCTGGTTTCAAGGCGCATACTTTATTTTAGTTATAAATTAGACATTTGTCATATTTTAAACGAAACGAACGTTTTGGTCCCTCCTTTGGACCCTCTTCAGCGTAATACAAATACTAAATTATCAACATCGCATAAATGTGAATTATATAAATATAAAATATAAATATAAATGTAAATATAAATTGTAAAAAAAAACCATTATATGAATCAAATGCGTTGTCGATAATCATGTCGTTTAAAATTATTGTATTGCATCCTTGTGAGACCGCGTTTAGAATGCTTCAATCATCTGAACTCTTTATTACGCAAATAAGTGTACTTTGCTTGAGAGAATTTAACATCGTTTTTTTCGCCATGTTAGTTTTAACTTAAATCAATGAACTTTTTCGATCATAATTATAATTGTTTGTTAAAAGAAATAAATCTGTTAACGTTAAAGAATCGCCCAGTTTTGTTGCACTTGGTATTCGTGTGTAAGCTGGTTAATGGATACATTGATTCTCCTGATTTGCTAAAGTCAGGTCATCAATTTACGAATTGCGGATAAATCGCTTAGACATAATGAATTATTTTTTATTGAATCTAATCGTATCTTTTATAGAAAATATAAACTACTCAACCGTATGTACTCGTTGGCAAATGATTTTTCGACGTATATTGACTTTTTTAACACGAGTTTTAATTCAATTAAAAGAATTCTTCGGTATTTAGTTTAATATCATTAAATGTTATTATCTTATTTAATATGTATCTACTCTTTAGTTGTAATTTTTCTACTGTAATTTTTTTCGTCTTATTCACACACACACACACACACACACACACACACACACACACACACACACATCTCAATCTGTGTCTATTCTTATTAACAATCTGTACTAGAAGGTTTTTCCATATATGTAATATTCCTGTAATATTACTAGCAGCCTATTGGCTCCTGCTCAAAAGACGCGACAACGCTTGCCGCGCGATAAAAAGCGACACAATAGCTAATCAACTTACAATTTCTCTACAGGAACAAAAAATTGATTCTAGCCGTTATAGTCATCTGGAATAAAAAAACCAAACAGATTCTTAATGTATGAGTGTAACAATAATGTGAACTAGATTCGAATTTTGCGACTTACAAAACTAACCAATTTTTTGGTAAAAAATGAAATTTTTTTTTGGGACACTGCTATTTTTTGTTTTTCAATATTTTTTTAATTCTAGTTAACGCAATAGCCACACTCATACAGATTAAGAATCTTTTTGGTTTTGTTTATTTCAGATAGCTATAATGGCTGTGGAATCATGTTCGCCACAAACAACAATTTTCTTTTAGATACTCTGATTTGGACTACTATAACTCTGAAATAAACAAATATTTTTGTTTGAAAAAAAATTAAGGATATACTTGAAATGTTATTTAATAAATGTGCAAAGTTTAGAATTAATATGTTTTATACTTTTCTTTAAAAAAGTTCCCAAAAATTGCCTTATTTTCAGAGCGTCAAACTAGAAAGACCCCTTAAAAGATCAGAAATGCGAAAATAATACTTTTCTCAGGAGATTTAAATATGTATTTATACGACATTAAATTAAAAAAACGACTAAAGCTCCTTTTTCTCTATTATTGTCTTTTTCACTTTCATTTTATTTAAAAATATTCAAGTTTGATCGCTTTGAGAGCGATTAAATCCAATTTACCATGAATATATATTTGATCAAAAATAGGTTTTGAGAGAATCTAATTAATATAAATAATATAAAATATATTCTCCGTTTTTGACGTTATTTTATCTTTAAAGTACAAGATTCTTTGCGCTGATTAATCAATCAAACGCTTACTCGAAGTATTCATTGATTAATCTAATAATCCAAATATCTCTAAAATCCAAGACAGAGTTTGAGTTTTATTCATTTCAATCGGTTTCAGAGAATTGATCATTCTTGATCACTCGAAAACGCTATATGTTACCACCGGCATAGCTCTCAGGTTCATTAGAGTACTCAAACCTCCTCACCCGGCAAATGCCTTCGTTAAGGTGGAGATACCATCGAGGAGGTAAAATTTTTATTACAATTATTTAATTGAAATAAAAATTATTTTGTTTCATAAAATAAATATGCACTATATAATATATG